TTTTACTTGGTACAGACTGCGCATGTCAGTTCCCGTCCTTCAACGTAAGGAAGACAAGGCAGAGAGCCACACCTTCCTTCAACGGTGTACAACAAAGCACCATTGTGGTCGTGAACCGATCCTTTGACGACTTCTGGATCTTTGTCAACGCAAACGAAATCTTTCTGGTTTTTGTGACGATAATCTGCCGCCATAAGATATCCCCAGTACTCTTTGGACCATCCCGCGGGACACTCGTAAGTTGCCGGGATCATCAGTTTGGCATTGCGGTTTGGAACAAAGCATACAGCACAAGGGACGTCGTGATCATGAGGATTGTGTGGAAATGGATTGTAGCTATGCTTAGTTTGGTACTCAGCACCGTACATGAAACCCGATGATTGACGAGCATCGTTGTAGCTCGCGTACTTGGGGGACTCTGTCAGGCATACATAGTTGGAACCCCCGCCGAGATGGTTGAAGTGCTCTCCACCTACTCGACCTACAACCATGAAGAGAATTTATTATGATTAGCTCTTTATTGATATTTCTTCAATAATTCGATAGATTACAATCTGAGACTGAAGACTCCTTTTACAAAACTAATCTCGAGACGATTATCTCTTTGGATAGCTAGGCAGCGGGAATTCTTCGAAATTTTCTCTTCTAGTACATGTAACTCTTTTACAAGGTTTTCTCGATACGATTGTAGCAACAACACTACAGCACAAGAATCCACGTCTCACACTAGCTCTCGTGATCACGTGATTCATTATGAAATCTACTTCATGTTACCTTTGTAGACGAGATTAGCACCAGAAGGACACGAGGTTCTCCCCCAGCGTATGTACTTGACACCACCACTTTTAGGACCAGGATGGCCCATTGAACCCTTAACACCACGTGGACCTTTCAATCCAGGACTACCTAAACCATAACAGTTTGATATCAAATAATGATACAACCGTAATTTAAGCAATAAACGATAGCTTGAAGAGGTTTACTGGCGAAATATACCGCGCGGAATGGTTGGCAACACGAGAAAAGATCTGTCAGTCACCTGGTCACGAGCCGTCAGTGTTCCCCCAACAATCCAAAGCAGTATATTTCACAGAAAACCGCTGCAATCTATCGTTTAATTTCAGAATCTAGGAAAGGACTGGAAACTAATTGTATTCAGTTTTCAAATTCGCTTAAAAAAAGGTTTTTCTTTATTTTTTGTTTTATTTTTGTTTAATTTCATTCTTTTTAAAGTAAAACACTTTAGTTGTTTATTTGACTTGACATGCTCTTAGTTTTGATGGTGTTGCCTTTTTGATCCCGACTACGGCTTTTCAATTTATAGTGTGTAAAAACATAGATTAAAGCTATTAAAATTTGCAAAGATTTGCAAATATTAACTAGAAAGAAACATAAATGTTTGCAAACCCTCCCCTATCCTCCACTGGTATTTGAAAAAAGCCATTCGTTCAGTTACCTCGTGGTCCTGGTTGGCCATCACGACCATCTCGTCCTGAAAGTAATAGGATAGAGCGACATCACTTTGTTGAATTGTAATATTGATTTCTTTTCCTTTTCTTTTTTGTCAGGTTCAATCGGTTCAGTAAATCAATTTTAAAAGTTCAAAACTAAAGATTTAGTTTTTGATGTTACCTGGTAAACCGACGCCATCTTTTCCTCGTGCTCCATCCTTTCCCGGTGCGCCATTTTTTCCTGGTATACCATCACGCCCATCTTTGCCTTTAGATTGTCACACATGATTCAATCACAATGAGATCTCTAAAAAACGACGTCACTATAGCCATCATTTGTTTCTTTCTGCTTTCTAACCTCACTAATTCACATTCTCACACCGCGTTTTTGTTTCCATGGTTACCTGGTTTACCCGGTGCTCCTTCCTTGCAAAAACCTAAAACAGATTATAAGAAATTAAATTCATGCTCACAGGGTTTGGCCTTTAAACGACGCACATAACCCAATAAAAGCCGTTAAAAAGTGGACCTTTTATGAAAATAAATCGCAAATCTGACCTTGCCGTGTTTCCAGAATCTTCATCCTAAATTAAAGCAATAAAGAAGTCATACGAAATTCTTGTTCTGAATTTAAAATGCTGTTGACTGGAGCCACAAGCTATGGAAAATGACAAGGCAACATCAACTAGATTGACTAGAGACGAAGGGAAAAGTTGTATCTATTTTTTAGGTATATTTTTCTTCTTCTCTCACTTTGAATCTTATAAATCGTAGCCTAATGATTTTTCCTTGAAAAAAGGCGCTCAAAAGATGCATGTAGTCCATGAGCAGGGTACTGTGGAGTGTTTGATTTTGCCGTGTGATGAGAGGATTGAGACGGTTGCCTATCGGGACTAGATAATTGTTATGTTATGTTGTTTATGAATCTTGTTAAGTCAAGTCCTAAACATAAGTCGTATAAATGTTTCTATAGGAAAATCAAACACAAGCTGTAATAATTAGTCATTTATCTATTTGCATCAAATACCCAGTCTAGTAAGTAAGTAAGTAAGTAAGTAAGTAAGTAAGTAAGGACTTTATTTAACGAGGGTAAACACGTAATAGTATACAATACTAATAAACTTGTGGCCCTCCTAAACTAATACTAAAACTATTATGAATATATAAAATTAAAAAATATATATATATATATAGAAAACCTAGTTGCAAGTTGCGTGGCTTTTTCTTCATTTATTCTATTTATATATATATATATATAAATTGAATAAATTGAAGAAAAAGGCACACAACTTGCAACTATTATTCCTACTCTTTATTTGAACGTTTCGGCACTTCGGCCTTCTTCAGCAAACTCTAACTATATATATAACTATTTATAACATCATTAAAACACTATATTATATTATCCTACAGTTATTAAAACACTAAGGATTAAAATGGAACAAATGCTTTTGTTTCTCAAAAATAATTTTAAAAAGACTGTTTTTAAAAGAGTTAAGTGTCAATCATCGCAGTCAATCATCGCAGTCAATCATCGCATATACTTTTAAGAAGCTAAAACAGTTGTTATACTATTTTCCTACCTTTCTTTCAAAGCTTTCACAACATCGCTCAGTACCTTTAAGTCTTGGTTTGTCTTGTTCAAGGTGCCTCGTTTTACCACATCGTTGTGCTCGTCATCTCTCCCGTCAGCTCCCCAAAACATGGCGATTATCACCACGATAAAGATGGCTTTCAACAACATTTTATCACAAGAAAAGGTTTTCTTGCAACTCTATCAACAATTCTGTTCAACGGTCGTCGTCTAGGTTATTTGAATGAAATGAGGAAAAAGTCAGAGTGAGGATATCGGACAGTATTGTCAATATATTACCACACGGAGTGTACAAGAAAATTCGTGAAAAAGAAACGTTCAGTACTTCTTGTGACTCATTCATCAATTCCTAATTGG